GATGCGTCAGTGGCCGTTCATATCACCAGGTTTAAATTTGAAAACCATTTGGTGATTCCAATGTACTACCATTTTCTTTTCCCCAATATTTTTCCCACGAGAATGCGAAATGTACGCCGTAGCTCGTAATATTGTTTTCTTCAGATGGTTGTTCCAAGTAAGTTAGCTGTCCAGGGTGACCCCTTAATACTTAACTTGATCCGAGAGAGATGATTGAGTGCCGTTTAGAGTGTGGGCTCGCAGATCCAGCTTCCTTCTTTCCGTAAACGAAACTAAGGTTGTTGTGTTGAGATTTATGAAAAGTCCTTCTTCCTCGCTCCAATTTTTGATTATGTTCAAGGCATTTTGTTTTCGGCCTATTATCATGCCTTCATGCTTGCCTCTGATTATTACTGCCAGATCATCTGCGTAGCCTAGGACAGTTATTCCGGCGTTGCTTAATCTAGTAAGTATGCTTTATACTGTACTTTATACAGTAACTGTTTCGCCCGATACAAGTCTTCCGATACTGAGCGATGTTTTAGCATGACTTCTGTCCATGCTACAATGGGAGCTTTCAGCCCCTATCCTCGAGAGCATTTTTGATAGATGGGTGTAATCAAAGGCACTATCTATATCTATAACAGCTGCAAGAGCGATTTCTTTTGCCTCACCTGCCTTCTCTATGTCTGTTACTAAACAATAGAGTGCACTCGTAGATTTGCCAAATTGTCTTTGATGGAGTGGTCTCATTCTGAAGAAACTCATGTATTGTTTGTAACCTTTGTAACCATGTGCACCAATGTAAGCTTTATACAAACTTGACGAAGTTGCACTGATAATGGCCTAAGGGCGAAAGGGCTCTGCACCGATTTTGAATAAAGAATTCCTGAATATTCCCGCAGCGGTCGTGCACAGTTGCATCGGCTCTTTCGCACCAATTCAATTTGGTAAAAGGTCTCTTATTACCCCAAACTGAACAAATGTCATTTGAATATACAGTTCTTAACTCATTAGTTGCTATGTCTCTTGAAGTTATGGAGTATCCAACTTTTCTGTAAATTTGCGCTACGCGAATTCTCGCGTATCAAAAATTACCTGGAAAATTATGGACACTTTTCGCTGAAAATGCTTTATATCCCTTGTTAGTGGCTCTATGAAAATTTGATATAGGTACAGTGGAATTTCCGACAAGACCTCGTGAATACTAGAGTTATCCGAAACAGGATGTTTCCGCAGGAAATCATCTCGTAATTTCACTCTGTATTCTAACACCCCACAAAATGTTGAAATTATTTATTTTCCTTCTTGCTTGCGGTAGTAGTATCTAACTATAAATAAAACTATTGCGTACCATGCCAAAAACTATTACCATTCCATTTAAAAAGATTTTGAGAAACTAATTTATATTTCCATTGTCACTTTTTCTTCTCTACAAGATGGCGGTATTAAATTTAAAATCCAACGTTTCGTTCCATCATCAATTTATTTTTTTTAAATACGGACCTGCTTTTTTAACTGTATTATTGAAAAATTATAAACAGTATCGGTTTAAGGATGCCCAAAGATGACAAAATCGCAAATAAAAAATTCAGGTCCGTATTTAAAAAAAGGAAGTTGAGGATGGCCGCCTGAAGACGAAACATCGAAATTTAAATTTAGTAGCACCATTTTCTAAAGAAAAAAAAGTGACAATAATGAAGTGACATTTATTTTAAAATTGATTTTCAAATAAGCCCGGGAAAAAATAAAAACGATTTTACAAAATTTCGGTTTTTTCCGAATATCTCCGGAAGTATTCGGAATCTTTCTAGTTTCAAAACAGCATTCTATTGGTCATAAAATTGCGCAACTTTGCCATAATTTAACCGATCCCGTATCTCTTACGGTTACCGAGATCCCAATGATGAGGCTCGAATTTGGGCCACCCTGTTCAGGTGGACCCGGTTAGAAGGATTAAAACACGTAAGGAAAAAAACAAAGGAGCCCGACTCTTCACACAGAAGTTAAAATTAAAAGGACACCGACGACGAGAATAAAAAGCATTACGACACGACGAGAATTACAGATCTGTACACCAAAAAGGTGGCAAACAATATAAAACTTTAAAAATATTACACGTAGTTAAAATAAATTAATTCTCTTGAGGACCTCCAGAGAGTCAAGATTTAAATATAAATATAACTTTTTTAATTTTCTTCTGTATTTTATTTCATTATTAGAACATATAAATTGCTCTTCCAATAATTTAGTGTTATTAGGTGTTCTGGTGTTCAATGAATTGGAGAGAGTTTAGTCTTTTTGGTTAATATAAATTTAAAAATCTGCAAGTCGTCCTATCTTTGGGATGTCAAACTAAAGTCAAAATTTTGGTTGAAAACAGCTGTTTTTTGAAAAATTGTCAACTGTCAAACGCAGAGCGGGTGGGTTGTGATTCTTCAACCTAGCTGATTGATTCTCGATGATAAGCAAGTGAGGTTATGTTGTCTTGACCAGGATTATAATATGAAACTGGAAATAATGGGATTTTTATTTAATAATTGTGAAACTCATCAAGTAGTCTCCTATGTAAAGGTTTGTAACATCTGTTGAGGCTGACTTGGGTGTTGAGACAATGGCAATGGACACACGGCTTCCACCGTGAATGAATGTTGTGGTTTATGTTGTTAATTTTGTCAAGTAGGTTTATTGCACCGAGTTCGTCACAATTCAAAAAATACAGGCAGTCGTCAACATACCTGAACGAATGTAAAATTTCCTTGTTGTTATCGTTGACAATTTTTGTACATTCCAAATGGCATCGACATCTGTCAAGAAAGGTGAAAGACACCTACTCATTGATAGGTCATCAAGTTGTCTGTAGAACTTGTTATTAAAAGAGAAGAAGTCCTGTGATAGGCAAAGATTAAGTAAGAAAATAACGTTGATTCTCTCTGAGTCACTGACCCCATTTTGTGAAAGAATATCTCCCACCAAATTGACTGTTTCAGATTTGGGAACTGTGGTTAAAAATTGGAGACGTCAAAAGAAACAAGAGAAGAGGAGATTCTCGTGGTATGTTGAGAGAGTTCATTTTGTCGACGAGAGAGGAGGAGTTGTTGATACCATGCCTAGGACTGAAGTCTGTTAGCGTCTTTAGGAGATTGAAAATAAATTCAAGCTAACCCGTGTGTTAGCGAAACTGACCACCGGTCTAATTGGTTCTCCTATCTTATGGATTTTCGGGTTGCTGGGGTTGCTGGATATTGGGGTTTTCGGGCTATCATTGTCATCCAGGAATTCTTTTAATGTTTTATAACCATCTGTTGGTTTTTGTGATGAAAGTATTAAGTGGGTTCTTAGCGATCAAGGTAAAATTGTTATCCAACAAGAAGTTCTCTACCTTGGAAATGTAATCAGCCTTATTCATGACAACAACACATTTCCCCTTGTCAGCTTTTGAAATGATCACTCTTTGGTGAAACTGAAAATTTGAGAACCTTTCAGCACCCCCTCTACGTCAATTTTTATTTTGGTTAAATTTGTAGATGATTTAAGAATTTAGTTTTGACTTGACATTGTTGAACTTGACTTCCCTAGCCTGGGGGACCAGATCAGTTATTTCATTGGATATAATAAGAAAAATATTCAATACCAAACTCTCTCACCAAATTGTCATAGGTCCGCTTGAGATCATATTTGAAAAAATCAATCGTCGTATAATGTTTGCAGAGCAGATCTCTCTTCTGACCAGTTTGACTTCAATTTCATGTTTTAGCTGTGGGGGAACATTATTTGATAGTCTTACTCTCGCTGAGGTCGGTGTGACTTCCTCTCTGATGCAGTTGTTGAGGAACTAGACATCAATGTTGGCCGTGGCTCGTGGCCATTTACAATGATAACTTCTTGTATCTTTCAGCCGAATCACTGCAGAGATACCAAGGAGAGAAGGCTGTATGCAAAGTGTTTGAAATACACTTTGTTTCTTTCCTTAATAACTATTATGACATAGTGATGACCCAAAATACATTAAATAGGTGCAACAGGTAAAAATTGATAACCTGAATTAATGAAAAATGCGCAATTTTGATTTCGCCCATGGTGTATGTTTATGACTCATGCTTTTAAAATGTTTAAGATATTTTTGCCTCAACTTTTAGTTGTTAATAATTAAGTTTTCAGTGTTAAAGGTCGAACACGCTAATTTATTTGAATAAAAAATTAAAAATATCTCTGCTCAAAATTACAGCGTTGTTTATAGTTACAACGCAATTTGAGTAAATATTTCAAAGGATAACGCACACCTAACATGGGATTTCTGGGCTCTATGGATTTTGCCCATTTTTTGATATGTTGTAGAGGATTTAATTCTTAACAACCTTTAAATGGGACGAAATCTTGTAGGTTTTATGGTTTTTAAGATATGAACATTGAAAGATGAACTTTTTTGCGACTTTTTGTGTGAAGAGTATACGAAAAACTGGTGTTTATCAGTCAAAATTTTGACAGGTTGACATATTTCACGTCACTAACAAATGCCAACATATGCTAAGGTCGGGACCGCTAACATTGACCCCAGTGCAGACCTGGCCTTAACCTATGTTGACATTAATTTTTAGTTACGTAAAATATGTGAACCTGTCAATATTTTGACTGATAAACACCAGTAGCACCAGTATCTCGTATACTCTCCACACAAAAAGTCGCAAAAAAGTTTATTTTTCAACGCTCATATCTCAAAGACCGTTATACCTACAAGATTTCGTCCCATTTAAAGGTTGTTCATAATTAAATCCTCTACAACATATCAAAAAATGGGAAAAATCCATAGAGCCCAAAAATCCCATGTTAGGTGTGCGTTATCCTCCAATACACATTTCAAAAAGCTCAATCATCGCCACAAAGAAAATGGAAATTGGCGAAATATCTTTGCACTGCTTTAGAGTATTTCACAAAGCATACTCGACCTTGAAATTAGCTTTAAATTTGAAAGCTATTATCCAATAAATGTGGATTTTAATTATGTTTTTGTTTCTATACAGGGTGCAACCAAACTTACCAAGGACGATATTGAAAGAGTGTTTGCTTTATATGACAGGGTAAGTTGCACAATATTTGCATAGCAATATGGAAATAAATATATGCAGTTTTTTCTACAAATTTCATAGAAATTATCGGGAAAGTCCGCAGCTTACAAACGATCTAATGAAGTCAATTACCAGAAACACTTGTCGTTGGCTTTTCCACAATTTTTTTTGGCACGACTTTTCCGGTAATTGCTTTTTTTATAATGGTTAATGTTCTTTACATTTTAATAGGACAACAATGGTACAATAGAAAACGAAGAACTCCGAGGTTTTCTTAAAGATCTTCTAGAGCTGGTCAAAAAGGTGAGAAAGCATTGAATCGCTTACCAGTCATCCTGCTCAATAGTGGACTGGTCATTAGAGTATAGTGGTCTTTAATGGAATCATGAAATCTGTGGTTTGGGTTTGATTCAAATATTTGTAATGCTATACTCATATTCAAGTACCAAATATTATTTTCTAGGATTACGATGCCCAGGATCTGCGAGACTTCGAGGAAACGATCTTAAGAGGCGTGGATTACAATCAGGACGGCAAGATCAACAAAAAAGAACTGACAATGATTCTGTTGGCCATCGCAAAGCACAATCAAGAAGAGGAACCTGCAGCATAAACGGCTACGTTTATTTTTGGACGAAGCGCTTTAGTGTTTAAGATTTTGAAGTTGCCAATTTATCGACGTTAAACTAGCACAAATTTTGGAAACTAAACAGTTTTATAAAATAAGTTTCTGTACGTGTACCTACTCAAAGCTTTATTGTATATGAAGCCGCATATTAAACCAACCTATTATTCCTATTATATCAGATACACCATCAAGGCCATACTTCTATTTAGATGAAAAAGATTTACTTTTTTAAAAATTTACATAATACATATCCTAAAACAAAAAGTACCTCAAAAATATATCAATACCTACTTACCTGATTTATCAGAAAATATATTAACCTTATACGCAATGGGCTTCATATACAAATATTGAATAAGCATTAAATATGTATATTAGAATTATTCATAAAACACCACTTTATAACACCAATATTCATTGTAATAAATTAATGCCAGAAAATTCCTTGGGAAATCGATCATAATTAAACTATCGTCTTACACTTGAAATGTGTGAATAACGTTTCAAATAAAACAGATGTGAATTTTCTTGGCAAATTAGGAAAGTTTGTTTCTAGCAAAATGGTTGATAATTAAAGTTTCTAATTGTTTAATGCAGTATTTATGTTTGAAGTACGGAAAATCTACCTTGCATAGGCAAAAAATGCGTCTCTGCATAGAGATCTCTGCAGGAGAGATGAAGTGTGTACCGTTGGGGTTTATCTGGGTATTTCAGAACCACGAACACTAAAGACTTTATATACATTTAAACAATGCAAACAAATTGAAATATAAAAAATTAGGTGAGAAATGATGGAAAATATAAATTGTGAACACTTTCTTCCCGTAGGTAATCAATAATATTTCTTGGTGAAACAATTGACTAGACAAAAGCACAGCACCAAAACAACAATCACACACTATAATCGGCGAGTTTTTGGTGTTGACATGTGTCTCGTCTGGGGCGTTCCGTTTGAGTGTCACTTGGTTCTAAGGGGTGATTTGGAATTTCGTTACATTCGGGGAATTTCGTTACCTCGGAAATCGTCCTCGTCCCGATTATGATCCTCGTGCGTTTTATTGACTTTTGATCGATTAACTTTGGCGGGTCTTCCTCTTTTGCGGATCCCAATCGCAGGTATCGTCTCCGGTCCTCGATAAGGCTGTAAATCACTTACGTGGTACTTTCCTAGTGGTATACTGGTTTTGGTCTCAGCTAAGTCGTAACTTGTGGGCGATACCTTTCTCAATATTTTGTAGAGCCCGTCTCGTTTGAGATCAAACTTCTTAGTCAAGTTCTTGGCTGTACTGCTATGCGTATGAAGATTAACGAGTACTCTGTCTCCAACGTTAAGCTCAGTAACTACTCTGCATGTTACATCTGCATAAACTTTGTGTCGGTCTCGTGAATTTTCATTAGTACTTCTGGCGTCCTGCCAAACAGTAATCATAAGCTCTAGATAAGGCGTAATCTGGGTTAAAAAAATTATCTGAAGTGATTTTTTGCATATCATTTTGTACTTCATCGAGGGAACTATTTTTTTTTATATGTACAGTTCCCTTCCAAATGTCAAGTACGCCGACGTATATCCAAGATTTTCATTCTTGACAGAGTTCATTGCAAATCTAATTGTTGAAAGATACGAAGGCCACGTGTTGTGCTTATCTTTGACAAGCATTGGCAATCGTGACTTCAGATTCCGATTTTTCCGTTCTACCATGTTACATTCCGGACGATGAAATGGCGCCAGTGACTGCTGAATTCCCATAATATGTCAAACTGGTTGCATAACAGTTGAAACAAATTGAACACCATTATCACTTGTCATTCGGCGTGGTATTCCATATCGAACTTCTTCTACCAGTTTTCGTGCACAATCTTCTGAGGTAGCGGTCTTAAGTGCAAACAGCTCGATCCATTGTGTTGCGGCATCCATCTATATCCATCATTAGATTCAGGCAAAGGTCCAAAAAGGTCAACAGCTACAATCTCAAACCTTTGAGCGTATGCTGGAATTTGCAACAACCCAGCTGATTTCTGATTCGTTGCCTTGTACCTTTGACAGCGAGGAGAGTTTTTATCATAGTCAGCTATATATCGCCTACGGCCAGTAAAATAGTTCTTTCTTGCAACTCGTTGATATGTTCGCTCAATTCTATAATGGGCTGCAGTGGGACTATCATGATATTCGTACATGATCCTCTCTCGTTCATGTGTTGGGACAACTAACTGCGCTTCTTCATCTCCTTCCTCCCCGGAATATCTATATAACACACCATTCATTAAGATGAAACCGCGACCTGTCCACTGAGCAATGGTGTTATCTTCATTGTTCTCAAAACAGTTTATAATTCTAACAAGTCCGGGATCCTTCATCTGTTCCGTACGTAACTCATATACAGTTCGAGCTGGCACATCTACTGTAATTTCACAGATATCACAGGATGTTATATCTTCATGGTTACAAGGTGGCCGGGATAGAAGATCCACTACTACATTCTTCTCTCCTAACATGTATTCATCCTTTAGATCATTACTCTGTAGTTTCAAGGCCCATCGAGCAAGACGTCCTGTCGCTTGAGTCTTGAGTGTTAGAAGCCATTTTAATGGTTGGTGGTCAGTGGAAAGGGTTACCTTAGACCCTTCCACATATCTTCTAAATTTGTCTAAAGCCCATACAGCGGCTAAAGCTTCTCGTTCAGTTGTAGTATATATAATTTCGCTCAGCTGGTAGTATAAAAACCTCGACGCATATTCCACAACATGTCCTTTTGGTCTTTCTCCTTGAAGTAATATGGCCGCATTTGCATAAGAACTGGCATCCGTTCTAATCATAAATGACTTATAGTCTGGCAAGTGGTAACTTGGTAGAGACGAAAGGGGGAAGAAAAAAGGGGTGTAGCCTAAAAATATTTTATATCCTACTGAACTATTAAAACCATATAATACCTTGGTTACGATAATCATAAACAGGGTCTTAACTCCCAAGGGAGTTAAGGATTTTCATAACTCCCAAGGGAGTTAAGAAAGGGAGTTAAGGATATCATAACTCCCAAGGGAGTTAAGGATTTCCATAACTCCCGCTTTTACCTTGAATAGGTAACACTTTGACAAAAAATAGAAATTTTGATTTATGGCTTATTCCTTTATAAAAATAAACAGAATACAGTAAATTCAGTAGGATATAAAATTATCTATGTACCACGGGAATTATCAGGAGTTAATACCCACGGGCAATTGGTGTCCCTCGGGCCGGAGGCCCTCGGGACACAAACGTTGCCCTGGGGTATTAACACCTGCATAATTCCCTTGATACATAAATAACTATAATGACACCTCAACTGACACCGCCTGATGACAGCCATGTCTTTGGGTTCAGTGGCACCGAAAACACCAGGGAAATAAACTAATAAAATCATTAGAAAAAAATTTTCTAGTTTCGCCAATAACCACGCCACTGCATGCTGTCGTTCAGACTCTAACCAATAAAATCATGCCTCTGAATAATCACGCCTCTCTGCATCCATTATTTCGCAATGTTGCCGGATTTTCTTCTATTTCAAAATACTACCTATGCCCATATAGCAAAAAAAAAAGATGTCACTAACTTGTTTATTATTGTTTCCGTCAAGTTTGGCAAAGCAGCAAATTCTATTGGAGTTCGCCGTTTCGCTAGCCAGACAATAGTTTCGTCCGTCTGTTACAATATTGGTGTGCTAAGTAGGTGTTGCTTTAAGGTGTCAAATGCTTGGCGTTGTTGGTCACCCCAGTGAAAAATCATATTCTCTTTGGTTAACCGACTTAAAGGGCGTGCGATTTCGGAAAAGTTCTTAATGAACCTCCGGTACCATGGCTTGGAGAAATGATTGTACCTCTGCCAATTTCCGAGGGGCAGGCAGATTGGCAATAGCAGCAGTTTTCTCAATACTACCTGATATACCATTGGGTGTTATTAAATGTCCCAGATATCGAACACTCGGACGAACAAACACCCATTTAGCCTGATTTACGCACAACTTGATCTGTCTGAAGATCACTAAGGTGCGTCTCAAAGTCAGAGGACAAGAAGATTATATCATCCAGATAAGCCAAAATCTAAACGTATGTGAGCCTACGGCATTAAATGTTGGAAAGTCGCTGGAGCGTTTTTCATTCCGAATGGCATACGTTAATAGCGGAACGTTCCTAATGGAGTGGTGAAAGCAGTCTTATCGCGGACACACTCGCGGACACTAATCTGGTGATAACCAGATCGTTAGTCTATGGTAGTCATGAAATCGGTATGTTTTGCAGCATGTAATAGATCATGCATTCGTAGTAGAGAAGAGGGCGTTGGGTTTTTGATAGTTGACACATAGCCTCACTTGCCCATCCTTTTTAGATACTAAGACAACGGGAAATGCCCATGGACTCTCAGTCTCTTCTATAATATTTTCCTTAAGAAGCTTATCTAATTCAGTGTGTAACTGCTTTTTCTGAGTATGTGACATTCTGTACGGAGGCACTGAAATAGGTTGTACATCATCGGTCAGGTTGATGCAATGCTCGGCATACGGGGTGTCTTAGAACCACGAAATTATCGATAATATCGGGTCTTCAAAAAAAAATAAAAAGTCAGATTGCTATGGATTTTCAAACGTATGTCTTAGCAATATTTGTCTTTAATTTTGTCAATGAACTTTAATGTCAAAATATCATGTCAAAAATCCTGACCAACAAAGAAACAGTAATGCGACATACGTTTTCGTAATCAAAGCAATCTTCGATTGGTTTTTTTTTTGAAGACACGATATCTTGCTTTTAAAACGGAAACACAACACTAAAGACTTTATAAACATGTAAACCATATAAACGAATTAAAATATCAAGAAACCCATCAATATTTCAGCTTTCAGAGAAGAAGCATTGTCACAGTTCTATTCGATTTTTGAAAAAATAAATTTAATAAATACTTACCTTTAAATAGTTATTATTACCAAAACCCATATCCGACTTAAGAGTTTTGAATTTGTTTGAAAGCTGATTAGGTTGACCAATATTTCAGTTCATGAGAAAGCTTTCAGAGACTTTTTTGACATACAAAAAACTTTGCTTTGCAGCAATTTGAATAATGTTTCACCACAGAAATCCTATTTCCATGCCTTGACGATTTTCTTCTGAAACTTTTATCGAGAAAAGTCAAAACAAGAGTTTTGTTGGTGCGTTAATTATTGCTGGTGAAGGCATAAGTTCCTTGCAATCCTTTTACCTACTTTATTACGTCAACTTTTTTATTATAAGTGCCTTCACCCTCAGCATTCCAATTTGTAGCAAAATCAACAACCATTTTGTTAAAAAATATTCTAGTTAGAAAGTACGAATTTTCCTTGCTTCAATTTTATCAAGCTAAATGTTACTCTTTTAAATCTACGAATAGCTTCATTGCTAAAACTATATATCACTTCAAAAGACTTCTTATAATACATTAAGGTTAAATAAAAGTATTCTATTTTTTATTCAATATAATTAGTCGTTTTCTATTTTAGAGTATATCATATTATATGCCTGCCTAATGATTAACTCACAGTATTAAAGTTTTCTAATTTTTTTTCTTCAAAATATAGATGGAGATTGTGAATCTCTTCATGTGTATATATCTATATTACCTTTGAAAAGCTTTTTATTTATTTTAGTGGTTACATTATAAGCAGACTATTTTTACTTTTTCCTATTCAACTATACCCACATATTTTCAAAAGTACAAACGATATGCCACTTTCCTTTTTAATTTTTTATTCTACATTTCTTGTCAACTTAAAATTCTTTGTATTTTTGTAGGTACTTACCACCTTCTCACACTTCGCTAAATAGTAAATAATATTTTACATTTACCACTCAAAAGTTTAACATCGATTGCTTGTTGTACTACTTGCTATAAAGAAAACGTTATAATAACTTTTATGCAGTTAACTTTATGCCCTATAGAATATACTTTAGAAGCTATAAATGTACAACCAAGCTATTCATAATATAAAACATCTGCATAGCTCATATTATTATATATCTGTTACCAAATAAAATGTGTAAGTAATAAATTGTATAATTCTGCATCTTTAACTTGTTTTTCCTTGTAAATGATTAATTTTTGTATTAAGTGATAAACTGTATTTTTGTTGTGAAATAAAAAAGAAATAAATTCAAGTTTGACTTTCATTGAAAATGTTTAGATACAAGAAGGGTAGCTGGGAGGTTGAAAACACAACAAAGTATTCCTTGTGATTATGAAAGAAATTACCAGAAGTTATTCAATGGCAATTTTCTTGTATAATTTCCATCCTGAATGTTAAGTAAGTAGTATAACTTAAATAAAAATAAACAAAGAAAATCTTAATCATGCTTTTAATAACATTAATTTTATGCATATACTACAGAAATTATATTCCAATATCTACTTTTAATAATAAATATTCCTACACACACTTAATTATCTCAAATTTTTTCATTATATTCTTCTAGGAGAGCTAATGCTACAAGGTTACTTCTTATATCAGTATTATAACAATATGTTTTTGCAAATCCAAATCTAATATTTGAAAATAAGTACCTACCTATCTATCAAACTCATAAACTCATTAAATGCATTATCATAATATTTAGGTACTACAAAAGTCCGCCACACGGAAGAAGAAGGGCGACGCCTGAAGGAGGAGAGGAAGCAAATGCTTAGCAAACTTAAAACCAAAGTTTAAAAAACGATCGAGAAATACTAAGTTGCCTGTTGACTAGACATATAGGTACATTTAGCGGAGGAGTTGTATTTATTCCCTAGAGTGCGGGCGGTCGCATACTTTCAGTACTTCAACTTTTATGTGACAGACTTTATTAGTAAATTCACCTATGTTTTAATTTTTAATTACACCTACTACTAAGTAAAGCATTATTCACTATCAAAAAATTCAAATAAAAAAAAACTGCAAATTTTAAATTCAAAATGCTTTTGGGTATCAGTTTTCCTATACCTACCCACTGACTTATACATATAATTTATCTAATACATATTTATTCAGATTATACAATTTTGGATTTTTCAATCTTCCCAACTTTGTGCCCGCATCTGTGACAGGTTTTGTCGTTTTTCACATCCACGTGATTGATTATCAAATTCGTTTGATGGTCCACTGATTTGGATCGAACATGGCGAGAATGAGGAACATCTAAATTATTGTCTCTAATTGGCGAATGGGATCCGCTAGTATTGTCGCATTCTACAAAAATAAAGTAGGTTACATAGAATTTCAGGATAATATTCTAGAATAAGTAATTGTCAGAAGGGCGTGAGAGGGTTAATAAGCTATATTCTATCATGCTATTCTGATATTATACATTTATGGAAATTGTTTCGATATTTACCAGAAGGAGTGCTGCTCTTATCCTCATTCTCGGCAAAATCTTCCACAACAGGCAAATTATTGCTCTCTGTCTTTTGAGTCGGAGAAGTTTCGATGCCATGAAAAAGATCTAACCTCGAGTCCAAAGAAAACTGCTTGCCAGACATAAGTATTCCTTTTATTCGACGTCGCATGGCTGAAAAATACCTATATATTATAAATGTCACTGATCGAGTCCATTTTCAATCCCTATAAAATAAAAAAGTTGATTCTGTGTATACCTAATTTAGTAGGTAATATACAATAATTGGTACTCGATATCGATTTTCATGTCTGAGCTTTTTTTTAACCCTTCGAGCCCATGCTCTGCACTGAAGCTCATTGTGACTTATTGTACATCATTTGCATGGACTCTTCCCCTTCCCATTCATACTAGAGTCTAAATGGTCGGCCTTATCATGCATCCCCTACACTAAGATAGTCCGATTCGCAATCCATGGTCGGCCATTCAGACTCCACCGACATCACGCAAGCCTGAGAAAGTCCTTCCACATCCTCTCGCCAAGCCAACAAGCCGGTTAAACAAACAAACAAACATGCCCAAGCCGGGATTTGAACCCGGGACCCGCGGTATGCGAAGCAGATACTCAACTAATATACATACATACATTAAAAACTTCAGGTAGGGGGGTAAGGCCCCCTCAAACTAAATATTTACAATGTTAACTTATAAACTAGGACATGGACTTGATACTAAAAACTACAGTGTGACGCAGCACACCGTGTCCCGGACACGGCTAGCGCGCTGTTTTGGCATTTTTCAGCACGGTCGATGTTCTGACCAGAAAACCCCTGTTCTATCCTTGCTTCAAACTTATCCACAACGTTTCCTGGTTTCCCTTATACGTTGTTTGTATGACCCTAGGTTCGTTGACAGATACCATGAATGGTAAGCATTGGACCGTTATACCGGCCTACCAGAAGATATTATGTGAGGCTGCTGGAGTTGGGGTCGGTGAGCGCGCAGCGCCCGTTCGGTGGAGAAAAGTAAGTAAACATTTCCACTTTTCATTGACTTATATATGTCGCAGGCTTATTGTAAAATCAGTCTTATTATAATACGCCTAGGCTTTTTCAATAAGACTAGGCATATCGTAATACTACCCAAATACTTAAGAATTTTACAATTAGACTAGTAATTTCAGTCGTATTATAATACGCCTGCTGCGTGTTAGTCTTATTGTTTGAAAGAACCTGCATTAGAATCTGACTAGATGAAATCCGTCGTATTATAATGCGACTGACAGTGTGGCAGTCGAATAATATTAATTATTATTGTTGATTAGTGTTATTTCTGTGTAATATTTGTGCCTGAACTGCAGTGAGTAGCACGAATGGAGATTATGAAATTGGTACCATACACGACTTAATCGATGGTTTTCAAGGGATTAAATCACTGACTGCCAAAGTAGGTAATGAAATAATTGATATTCTAGAAAGAGAAACAAAGATACATGTTGCGCTGAAGGGTAGCTTTCCTTTTATTTATGCTACAGAGACGAAATTTGGAAAAAATACTTTAAACTTTGGTGATTAAGATGTCTCTATAAAGAATAAGAAAGTTAGCGTTCAGCACAATATATCGGCCAAAAGGCACATTGAAAGTTTTATTCAATACAATTCGCCTGGTGCACTATCAGTCGTATTATAATACGACGGATTTCATCTAGTTGGATTCTAATGCAGGTTCATTTCAACAATAAGACTAACACGCAGCAGGCGTATTATAATAAGACTAAAATTACCAGTCTAATTGTGAAATTCTTAGGTATTTGGGTAATATTACGATATGCCTAGTCGTATTGAAAAAGCCTAGGCGTATTATAATAAGACTGATTTTACATTAAGCCTGCGACATATATATGTTACGGTTAATATGCAAACTTGGTTAGTTTGTAAACTAGCTGGATAGTTTACAAACTAACCAACCCCTTGGCTATTTTGATAGAAAACGAATTTTTTTCTAAAATAGCAGCTAGTTTGCAAACTAACCAAAAGTCTTGGCTAATTTACTTGAAATTATTTAGAAAACTAAATTAGCTGGTTAGTTTATAAACTATCCGATGCAGCCTGGCTAATTTGAAAACCATGATTTCTAGTAACACAAAATAGCCAAACCTTTGGCTAGTTTGTAAACTAACCAACCAATTTTCTGGCTAATTTACAAATAAAGTTTAATGTTCATGGTATTTGTTATTCGATAAATTCGAGATGAATAAATAAAATGAAAATTTTTGCTTTTTTCTTTTTTACCTGGCAATTCTCACATCCATCGAGGTACAAAGTTACAATTTCTTGGGTAATATTTGAATATTTTTGATTTATTAGCTTTGTTGCAACTTGTCTTTTGTCGTGCCCAGTCATTTGATTGGTGAGATTCTTCAATAATATCAAACAAATCGTCCATACAAGCTACATAATATTTTGCCAGATTTCCTTCGTTGTAAAGTTGGGAATTATTTGCTTTATTATTATACAGATCTATTAAAGAAGCTTCAAATTCTTTAACCTAACTTTGTTTGTAAATTAGCCAGAAAATTGGTTGGTTAGTTTGTAAACTAGCCAAAGGTTTGGCTATTTTGTGTTACTAGAAAATATGGGTGTTGGAAACATGTTCCAACAATCATGCTATCTCTTTTTGATGGCAAAATATTTTTATACATATAAAGTTTGCAACACTGCAGCGTTGTCGTCATGTCTATTTTGTCATGTCTGTCAATATATTGCGCGCCATTTTTGTCATTGCAGCAGTGTAGCTTGGAGCTTGTCCACGTTAACAAGCATCCAGAAACCTTTTCACATTTTTAATAAATTTTATAATCTAGCTCTGCCCTGTTGGGCATCTAAGCAAGCTCTGGCTTCTTGTCATCTTGTAGTAGTAATTGTAAATAGTGTAAATATTGTGTAAATTGTTGTAAATATAGTGTCAGTGAAAAGCGCGTGTGTTTTAGTTCCCTATCCAGTCGATCATCCAGTCCACCTAATTATACAGTCCACTAATTATCAAGTTATTTATCTTCCATTATGTGGTTTTGCACATAATTTTGGCCAGTTCGAGCCGGATACTGGATAGTTCGGAACCTAAAAGTGCTTTAAAAACCCTCAAAAAGTGCCTTTTTAGTGGTTATTGATTGTTCCATCGTGATTTTTGGCGCCATGTGATGCAAAAAATCAATCATCCACTGTGCAGTCTGCACGTGTCTCAAACAACGTTGGGTTCCACGTGCCACCAGCGAAGGTTTCCGCCGGAACCGGAAGTGCGTAAGTAGAGTGGGGCGGAGCAAACAAACTTCACTTATCAAATTCAAAAGGGTGCTTCTTTTTCTCGTCTGGTTCAACCCAAGTCACCCCGGGTGCAGTATCCTTGCTTGGTGCAATGAAGTACAGCCCCGGAGCAACGAACATGAAAGTGAGAGTTCACCACCCCGACAGCTTAACCTCAAATTAAATGTCAAACATTTGTTTACGTTTTGTTGTTTGTTGTTTGTGTATTTTGGATTTTTGCAGTGAATTTGAGTGAATTTGCATTATTTTTGAAAAACTGAATTTTTCGCATTAATTATTGCTATTTTTTCATTATTTATTTAAAGGATGAACAATTGTCCGTTTTTCGTTTTGTTAAGTAGTTTTTAAAAAAAAAAAATCTAATTTATTAGGTAATTTTAAATTTTGTTTATAGATTTCTTTTGATATTTTCTTATTTTTTTGATTGTAAACTTTGTAAATATGGCTACCAAAAAGCAAATTGATAAATTATTGTCAAAGAAAAAGCAAGCAATCGACTCCATGGTTAGAATAAGTCGTTATATTTCCGATCACAAATCTGATCCTGACAGTGAGTATAAAACCGACCAATTTTTAGTTCGGAAGGAAATATTGCAGGACAGTTTTCAAAAGCTTAAAGACATTCAAGTTGAAATTCTGTGCCTTGATGGTAACTATGATGATTCAATTGATGATGTAGAAACTCTTTTTTATGATGTCATTGTAAGAATTAAAAATTGTTTACCTAAATCTAATTTACCAGGACCAGCTAATACTAGTAATTTAGCAACTAATATTGCTCAATCGGTTTCAATTCCACCTACTCAAAGTAATAATTTTATTTCTGCTGCTAAATTGCCCCCAATCGAGATACCTACCTTTGATGGAAAAAATTTAACCAATTTCAAATCTTTTATCGATATATTTAATGCTGTCATCGATAAAAATCAACAGTTAAAAGATGTTGAAAAGCTCTTTTATTTGAGAAATTATTTGAAGGGTGAGGCTTTAAGCTTAATTGATAATCTGCCACTAATAAATTCTTCATATCAAGGTGCCATAGATATTTTAAATAACAGATTTAATAATGAAACTATGATCATAAATTCACATATTTTTTCTATTTTGGATATTCCTGCCATACAAAAAGGTACAGCTCATGCACTTAGAGATTTTGTAAGTCGCATCAAGCAGCAAATTGGAGCTCTCAAAAACCTAGCCCAGCCTGTTGACAACTGGGACATGGTGATGATTTGTATTTTAAGTAGAAAAGTTGACCAATTTACCAACAGAGCCTATCAAATAGATCGTGATAGTTCCAAATTGCCGACTTTGGATCAATTCTTGGCCTATTTAGAAAATAGAGCTACAGCCTTAGAGGCAACTAGTAGTACCCCAGAGCATAAAACTAAAGAAAAGGTTTACGGTTTATTAACAAAACAAACCAATGTAAAATGTCCCTTTTGTTCAATATCTGGACATAAACTGTATAATTGTAAAAAGTTCAAATCCGTACTAGTAAAGGATCGTATATCTTTTGTCGACAAACAGAATTATAAAAATTCAAAACTTAACTTCAACTTTTAAATGGTTATATATTAACACGAAAGAAAATCCTGCCGATTGTCTATCCAGGGGTCTCGAGCCTCAGGAAATTGAGTCAAATAATCTGTGGTTCCACGGTCCAAACGTTCTTTCTGATATTAATTTTTGCCATAATGAGATTCCTATAGAAATTCCTGCTTCCTTGCCAGAAGAAAAAATTTTAACACAAGTCATAAAAACAAAGCCAAATTCATTTTTTGAAGATTTTTCATCCCTTAGAAGACTTCAAAGAGTTTTTGCCTATATACTTAGATTTGTTCACAATTC